GTAGACCCCACGCCTAGCGCACAGTAGGTGGTCCACGTCAAAGTGGGCCTGGGAGTGACTGCCTTTAGGAAGTGCACGGCAAACAGTCAGCACCGGCCTCGTGCCGGAGCTGGGACGTCGCAAGGCACAGGGGAGGGGACGTGTCACCTGCCCAGCGCCCGTCGGATATGAAGGGGCAACTGGTGTCTCCATTTGCGGGGTCCGCGCAATGCCCCGGGTTCTCCTCTCCGACACTCACATCCCCAGACCCCGCCAGTGCCAGGCCATGGGGCAGCAGCGGCGTTTCCAGACGGGTTCTCTGAGCCTCGTCCGGGCTCTGACCATGTCTGTCGATTAAGGGTCCGGACCGTCCACCCGGCAGGAGCCCAAGGACCCTGACGTCGGTCCCCATCTGCTTCCTGCCCCTCTCCAGCCCGGTCTGGGAGGCGGGGGGAGGACCCCCCACCCAGCCACACATAACAGGCCCACACTGCCCCTCGGCACTCACATGTGCTCACACACGCACCCTCGCCCTCACACACGCACCCCTGCCCTCACACACGCACCCCCGCCCTCACACACGCACCCCCGCCCTCACACACGCACCCCCGCCCTCACACACGCACCCCCGCCCTCACACACACTCTGGCTCAGAAGCTTGTCCCTGCCGCCCAGGCGAGTCACCAGGCCTTGCTGTCGCACACCCAGCTGTGGGTGCCTGCGCGACACTGGCCACCTGGACGGCGGGACTCAGTGGGCTGAGGAGGAGTCCGGGAGGAGCTGGCTGCACCCCCACCCTCCCTGCCCCACCCCCTGGGCCGTCATGCTTGGCTGGCTCAGACTGGCTGGGGATGGGCTGGCCTACCTGCCCGGGGCTGTCCATGCCTGCGTAGCTCTGAGGGCACTCAGCACTGAAGACCCCGCCCACACGAGACCCCCATGAGGGTAGCAGACTTTCCGGGGGACCTGGGGGGCAGGGGCCGACACAGCAGCCCAGCAGGTGACTTTGAATCCCTGCCCCCCCGGGGGGGACTGTGCCCTGGTCGGGCCCGGTCCATGCCACCCTGGCCGCCCCCTCTGGGCCGTCTCTTGTACCCCTTCCCTCTGCACTCTTTCCTGGGCAAACCTTCCGCTGCTTCTGCCTTTGCACGCAGAACCACCCGGTGCCACCCTCCAGATGGGGCTCCGGGCCCGGCCCGGCCTTGGGTGTCGGGGTTCGGCCAACACGCATGGGGGAAGCCCAGTCTCTGGTGTCCCCCCCAAATTCCCCTCCTGTTCCATCTGCAGGCAGCAGCACTTCAGGACCGGCACAGGCGGTCGCGTCCCCTGCCTGCATAGCCTGGTACCCGGTACCCGGTAGGCACATCCCAAATGCTTCTGGAAGGCTGGTGCTTGCTCTCTGCCACGGGTGCCTGCTCCTATCATGGTGGCTGCTCCCAGGCCGGGCTCTGTGTCGCCCTGGCCCTGGTGTGGGCCGGCTTCCTGGTGTTCAGGGCACGGGGCTGCAGTTCCTTACCACATTTGCAGCAGGGGGAGGGGAGGGGAGAGGAGGCGGTGGGTGTGGGTGGGGCAGGGAGCCAGGCCCTGCCCGCTGCCGAGGGGGAGCCACTGTCACTTTAAAATTCTGGAGATTCCGACTCTTAGAGTTCTGGAGCCTTAGACTCCAGAGTCCTAGTTAAGAACACAGATGCCAGGGCTGGTGCTGTGGTGTGGCAGGTAAAGCCACCACCTGCAGGGCCACATCCCACGTGGGTGCCGGTTCAAGTCCCGGCTGCTCCACTTCCGATCCAGCTCTCTGCTGTGGCCCGGGAAAGCAGTGGAGGATGGCCCAAGTGCTTGGGCCCCTGCCCCCACGTGGGAGACCTGGAAGAAGCTCCTGGCTCCTGGCTTTGGATCAGCGCAGCTCCAGCCATTGCAGCCATCTGGGGAGTGAACCAGGGGATGGAAGACCTCTCTCTCTCTCTCTCTGCCTCTCCTTCTCTCTCTGTGTAACTCTTTCAAATAAATAACTGAATCTTTAAAAAAACAGTAGCAATGATGTGACAAGATGGCGGGAACAACTCCATGTGCTCATATTTGTCAAGGGCTCAGAGCAGCGCTGGGCGCCAAGGAAGGACCTGTAGGCGGTTGTGAAATGAACCAGTGTGCATCCGAGGGACCTTGGACTATTCTCTTTTTTTAAAAGATTTACTTATTTATTCGAAAGTCAGAGTTGCAGAGAGGCAGAGGCAGAGAGGAAGAGAGAGATCCTCCATCCGCTGGTTCACTCCCCAGGTGGCCGCAACAGCTGGAGCTGTACCGATCTGAAGCCAGGAGCCAGGAGCTTCATCCGGGTCTCCCACGTGGGTGCAGGGGCCCAAGGACTTGGGCCATCTTCCACTGCTTTCCCAGGTGCATTAGCAGGGAGCTGGATCGGAAGTGGAGCAGCCGGGACTCGAACCGGCGCCCATATTTTTCCCACTGTGTCACAGTGCTGGCCCCGAATTTGGAGTCTTTATCTGCTCCCGGGCTCTTAGGCTGGGGAGGGACCTCATTCCCTGTCCTGGGGCGGAACTCCTGCCCTTACTTAGCCCTGTTGACAGCTCCCTACCTGCTCAGACATGGCAACTGCAGGGAAGTTCCTCTGGGCTCCGGGTGAGCCTGGCTGCTCTGCCCAGCACTGCTGGACGGGTGAGCAAGGCCAGGCTGGACCTCGACCCTGGGAGAGGGCGGGCGGGGGGTAGAGAGCGTGGTCCGGTGGGTGCAGGAGGAGCTGAGGCGGGGTGCACCTTGCTCACCGCCTGGCAGGGGCCTCATGGGGCCCAATGACGTCTGCAAATACCAGGCATGATATAAACAGCGATAATGAATAAGTGAAGCTCTCGCAGTCAGCCGCCGGGGCCGGGGCGGGGAGGGGGACGCCCAGCCTTCCTTCTTGCTGGGACCCGGAGATGCGCTCCCATTCCCCGCCCGGCTCATCCACGTCCTCCCTGCCTGCAGACTCGCTGTCCTAGGGCCGCAGTGGCTGGGACAGTGACAGAGCAGACCACGAAGGTGTCAGCTGAAGCATAAAGCATTCAGGTCAGACACAAAGCAGGACTTCCTCCTGCGCGTGCGTGAAGGAGGCTGCAGAAGGGGGCGCCTGTCCTGCCTGGATCGGGAGACGACGGTGGAGGGGCCGTTTTCTGCTCAGAGGTAGCAGATGAAAGAATGATCGGCCACACCCAGGGGCAGGGGTGGTGAGACCCTCGCCACCCGAGGTGTGCAATCCGGGCAGGGAGGTCGCTCCAGGGGCCCAAGGAGACGACACCGGAGGAGTCACCGTCTTGTGGCTTCTCTCTGTCCCCAGCCGCGGAGTCTCCTGCCACCTCCCCAGTCCTGCAGGGCTCAGGTCAGGGCCTTGCCCAAAGACGCCAATCTGAAGCCACTCTGACTACAAGAACCCACTGGGCCTGCAGGTGCGGCCTGGCTGGCTCCACGCGTGCCCGCGGGACCCACCCCTCCAGCAGAGGGCGCACTCGTGTGCCCTTGCTCGCCCGTCTCCCAAACTGGATTAAGAAGCAGGGGCATGAGAGTTTGCTGGGCGCCTGCTCCCCGCCAGGCCCTGGGCTGAGTGCGGGAGAGGCTGTTTGCATCCTGTGTGGTGTGTCCTTTATCCCCAAGTCACCGTGGACCGAGCAACCTAGGGCCCGGGGGTGGTAAGGGGCCTGCCCTCTGCCCTCTGCCCTCCGCCTGGAAGCGGCAGAGCTGGGTCAGTGCACTGTCCCCCAAAGCCCTGCCTGCCAGAACAGGTGGCCCCAGAGCGGGCTCAGCCGCGGGGCGATTCCCCACACTGCGCCTTCTCCAAGCGGCTGGGGAGGGTGAATGGGTCAGAGAAGGCGTCCCGGGCAGGGCCGGGAGCTGCTGCTCCCCAGAGGAGCGGCTGGGCCATCCCTGGTCTGTTCTCTCCACCAGCAAGAGGTCTAGAGAGGTGCCCAGCACACAGCAGGCGCTCATTAAATGCTTCCCAAGCCGCAGGAGAGTGGTCCATTGGACCTGTGTCTGGGAGGGTCTTGAGCCCTTTATTGTGTTTAGCAGGACACAAAAGGACAAGTACAAGGGGGCGATGACCTTGGATGCTCCCTGACCCCCACGCATAGCCCTAAGAGGGAGAGAAGTGGTTTAGGGGCCTGGCACCGGGGGCTGGGGTGGTGGGAGCACAGGGCAGGGTCCTGCCTGCTGGAGGCTGACCGCTTAGGGTCCTGTACCCCAGGCTGCCCCGGGGTAGTGCCCTGGGCGCCTTCCTGGAGGAGGTGGACTTTCTGTTACGCCTTGAAAGGTGAGAAGCAGCAGGGGTGTAAACGCGAATCGGAGAGGCAGCGGGTTGCGCCTCAGCCCCGCCATTCGCGAGTTGGCGGCCTTAGGTGGGTGACCTCTCTTTGGGGCGGTGCGGGACCCCCCACCCCGCACAACGCCACCTCGCCTCTCCTCTCCGCGAGAATCTGGGGTCAGGTTGCCGGGACCCGGGGCGGTCGGCATCGGGGTCCCCTTTTGGACGCATGGCGCAGCCCCCGTGCGGGTTGGTCTGGACCTCCCCCAGGCACACCCCGGAATTTTTAGGGGCCCCGGGCTTCCCGCCGTCCGGGGCGGGTGGGGGCTCCAGGCCGCTGCCGCCGCCACCTCCCCCGCCGGCGTCCCGCGCCTGCAGCTTTCCCCGAAGACATTTGGTGTCAGTATAAGGACGGCTTTCCTACCACGCGGCGCGGCTCGGTCTCGCCGCCGCCGCACGTCCCCGCACCGCCCGGCGGTCGGGCTCCTCCGCAGCCCCCGCCGCGCGCGCAGACCCTGCGCCTGGAGCCCGGGGCCCGAGGCGCGAGCGCAGCTTCGGCGCGCGGGCGGGCGGGCGGGCGGGCGAGGGACGCGGCCCCGACCCCGCGCCCGCGCCCGCGCCCTCCGGGGCCCTCGCTCCGCCACCCCGCGCCCCCGGCCCCGAGCGCCGCGCTCCGCCCGCCGCCGCGCGCTCCAACCCCGGCTAGGTCCGCGGCTGCCCGCGCCGCCGGCTGCTGCCGCCCCTCGCGCGCGCCATGGCCCGGGCCCCCGGGCCCGTAGCCCACCGCCCGCCACCCCGCGCGCCCCAGGGGCTCAGCTGATCCCGAATTGGCGGCGGGGGCGGGGGGCGGCGGCTGGAGGGGCCGGGGTCCCTCCGGGCTACCGGCTTCTGGGGCCGCGTCGCCCCCCAGCGTCTCCGACCTGGACGACCCCCCGCTGCCCTGCCGCGTCCGTGCCAAGGTAGGGGTGCGCTGCGGCGGGGGCGGGGGCTTTCCCGCGGGAGGCGACCGTGGACGGATTTCGGGGCCGGGGCGCGCGCCCAGCAGGTGGGCCCCCCGTGCGTGCCTTGGGGCCGGTGCCGCGAGGGAGGCCGGGAAACTTTGACCGGTCCCCTCTCCCAGGCCACGAAAGTTCTCTCGGTGCCAGCGCCGAAGCCGGCTGAACCAGCGCCGCAGGAATTTATTCAACAAGTCGGGCCGGCGGCGGGGCCCAGCCTGTGTCCGTGGGTCCGTCCCGCGCTGCTGCTGCGGCTCTGCGGACGGCGGGCCCGGGCCCGGGGCGGGGGTCGGCGGCGCGGAGCTGGGCGCGGGGGCGCCGGAGAGCGCGTGGGGAATCCCGGGCTGGCGCAACTTTGCGCCGAGCCCCCTCCCGGGCCGCACGCCGGGCCCGTGGGTGGCCGAGGCCGCGCTGCGGGACGCCAGGCCGGGGTCAGCGCGGGACTCGGGGGTGCCCCGGACGGCCCGCAGCGCTGGGGCTGGTTATGTAATGAGTGTTTGTGATGATTGGGTTTTAATTGTCTCCTGCGTGCAGCGTGTGTGGGCTGTGGGCGCAGGAGGGCTTGGCCGGGGCTGGGAGGGCCTCTTTGGGGGAGGTCAGGATGCCTGGGGGGCGGGGGCTGAGGCGCTGGGCTGTCCCCTGCTGTGTCTTGCTGCGTGCTGGGTGAGGGGTGGGGAGGGGGTCCTGAGCCGGGGTTAGCTTGGGGTCTCAGGAGGCCACTGAGCTATAACCTGGTCTTGGGAGTCAGTTTTGGGCCAGGTGTGTGTGTGTGTGTGTATGTGTGAGAGAGAGAGAGAGAGAGAGCGAGAGAGCGAGGGCGTGAGTGAGCCTGCGTGTGTCTGCGTGTGGTGTGTTGGGGTCTGTGTGTGTGTGTGTGTGTGTGTGTGTGAGTGTCCCAGGCTGGAGCGCCCAGCTGGCCCCCAGCTGGCGGTCAGTCTGTCCTCTGCCTCCCATGTCAGGTCCTGGCACCCCTGTGGGCAGGATGCCCTGCAGCCCGGGTGTGGGCTTGCTTGGGGGAGCCAGGCCCTGCCCATCCTGTCCAGTGGTGTCTTGGCCCGAGGGCTCCCCTCGGCTCCAGGGATCTGCTCCCTGGAACTCGTCCACCCTTCGGGACCAACTTTCCCTCAGGCTCCTGGACCCTGGGCTGGGCTGCGGTCGGGCTGGGGGTAGTGGGGAGCCCGGGGCCCTCCCTGTCCCCTTCCCACCTTCTGCCATCACCACGGAGACGAGGGAGGGGAAGCCAGTGGGGACGGGTGACGAAAGGATAGGGTGACGCTGAGCAGGGCCAGAGGCCGGGGCTGACATCCCGAGGGGCGAGGAGAGGGAAGGGACGGGCCCTGGCAATGCGCTGGGCAGGCCTGGCCCCAAGCCCACGCGCCTCCCACCGCCCTGGGGAGCCGGGCCCCACGCAGTGTCCTTCGGCTCCTCGGCTTCTCTGCGCTGCCTCCGCCGGCTCGGGGCACCACCACAGACGGCTAGGGGGAGGGGCTGGAGGCTCCTCCTCCTTGCCTTGGCCGCGTTGCTGCCCCCTCTCCCCTCTGCCCGCCCACCCGCCGCACAGAGCCCTCCCCTTCTCCTGCCCCCATTCCCGGAGCTTCCGCGAGGGCTGGGGGTGCCAGCAGCCCCCTGCGCTGACCCTCCCTTGACCTTGGGTGCGGAGGAGCGGGCGGAGGTCGTGTGAGATCCCCCCACCCCACCCCGGCCTGTCCCACCCGCTCTCGCTGGCTCTGGACAGCCTGCCCCGCGTGAGTAGTTTCCGGAGGTGCTGGGATGCAGCCTCTGTGCTTCTGGGCCCTGGTTCCACCTGCCCTCCACCCCCCCTCCCCAGCCCTCTCTCGCCTTCGGTGTGCCCCCCCCCCCCGCCTCAGCCCTCAGGAGGGGGCTCCCCGGCACCCTGCCCCTGTCCCCAGCCCGTCCCAGTGCGACTAAGGCAAGGGGCCAGGCTCTTGAGCCATTTCTGGGCTGGCGTCTGTCTCCCCATCACTGCCTTGTTCTGATTCCCCAGCCCCCTGCTCCAGGTGCTCACAAACCAAGTCTGGAAGACCCCACCGGGCTGCGGGGTGAGCGAGGGGGGCGCCCCGCCTGTCTGCGCTCCCCGCTCCCCCACCTCTCCTCTCTGACCCCTTCCTCCCCTGGCCTCTTTGTTGAACCGGCTTTGCTTCCCGCCTGTCCCCGGGACGCGCCCCTGCCTTAGCACCCTCACCAACCCTGTGCCCCTGGAGTCGGGTGGCCGGGCTGGGTGTCCGGAGACCCCCCACCCCACCCCGTATCGGCCTGTGCCCTGCCCACCGTGGGCGCGTGGACTATGGGCCTCCGTGAATGGCCGGGCGTGGGTGTCTGTGGGGCTGGGAGCCGCAGATCTGTGGGTGTGTGCCTGTGGCTCTCGGATGGGTGGCTTCCTGGGTCTGAGGATGTGCCGTGGGCCTGTGGGTTCTGTGATCCAGGAAGATGCGGGTTGACTGGCTCCCTGCGGCTGGCAGCCGAACGAGGGAAGCAAACAAGGCTCCTCCTTGTCTCGCCGCCTCCCTCCTTCCCTGAGCACCTACTTGAGTCTTCATTCGCTCTCCCCCCACTGCCTGGCCCGTGTGTGCCCAGCCCTGTGCTGGTCACTGTGGGACACAGATCCGTCCCCTTGGAGCCTCAAGCCTGTAGGAGAGGCCCTGGGCCTCCCCTGGCAGGTGCTTCCTGGGGACACGGCCACGAGTGCTGGCTTCCTCCTGTGCGTGGGAGCGGAGAACGCAGGCTGGGTTGGATCCGAGGCGGTGACACAGGTGTGTGGACACATCTGAGCTGGCACAGGCACATTGGAGCTCGCTGAGCGCGAGGGGAGTGGAAGGTTGTGCCGCAGAGTCCTCTCCGGGGCAGCACCGGCCCTGCCTCCCGGCGTCCTCCGCCCGCAGAGGCCCTGTGTGTGGCTGGGCACCCCTCCTGGACGCTGGCCACGGCCGTGTGGCTACTGACGCGTTCTGAGGAATGCATTAGGGTCCCTCTGTGCTGCCCGCTGCCCGTGCTGTTCCCCCCTGGGCTGGGGGCTCGGGCAGCTCCTGTCCCCTGTTGGGACAGAGACACACAAGGCCATGGCCATGCCCTTGAGAGGGAGTCACTTTGCAAGACAACAGCAGCCGATTGGTGCAGACTGAGGATCTTAGAGGACCCCTGGGCGGCTCTTCCGTGCCCGGTGTGGGGCCTCGGACGGCAAGGCTGGTTTTGTTCCGTTAGGGAGCTGCGCAGATCTCCAGCCCGGTTTGTGAGGGAGCGGACGCAGCCTGTTGGGGCTGTGTGCCGTGGGCCGGGACCCTGGGTCCCTGAGCCAGTGCTCCTCCCGCGGGAACGGGCTCCCTCCCAGCACGCTGCCCCCGATTTGTCAGCCGAGGTGAGACCCAAGGCCCTAATTACTGCAGAGGGAGTAAAACCCATCAGCGAGGCGCCTGCCGGGAGACGCTCAGACACGCGGGTGGGGTGCCAGCGCTCGTCACAGGGCCAGCAGCTGCCGGGGCAGGGACAAGCGGCCATGGCGGGGCACAGACACGTCCAAGGGCACAGGCATCCTGGCCTCGCAGCCCTGCAAACGACGACCTGGAGTCAGGCCACCCAGATCCAAATGGCAGCTCCTTCCCGAAGCAGCTCCTGACCGGAACCTCTGGGTGCCTGAGTTTCCTCATTTGTCGAGTGGACGGGGGCCGTGCCGAGGCGCCTGGCGCACCGTGAGGGCTCGCATGCTGTTGCGGTGACTGTGGTTAGCACGGTGGGAGGGGCTCCCGGTCCAAGAAGGCGGCTGATGGGCCCAGGAGCGGCGGGAGAGGGAAGGAGGGAGCCGAGGTTTGTGTCAGGTCACGAACCTGGAGCCTACGTGTCCCGTGGCCGCTCTTTAGGCAGGAGAAGCCGTAGCTACTTGGCTCAGCTTTGCTGAGGAGGGCCTGAGGGGCCTGGGGACCCCCGTGCCCCAGCGTGCGCGTGTGTGTGTCTGCATTCTGTGTGTGCGTGTGAGCGAGGTGTCCGTCTCGGGGGCTCCCAGTCCCACTGAGAGAGGCCTCACCTGCAGCATCAGGCAGGTGACCTGGCTGTCCTACCCCTGTGGCTTCCTTCAATCTGGTCCTTCCCTGGGCCCTGGAAGGTGGGCGGACTCGAGCCTGCCCCGGGGAGGGGGTCCCAGGGAGGCAGACGGTGTGGGATGGTTGAGGGAGCTGGTGACAAGAGGCCCGGGGCAGATGCGGCTCGGGGTGGGCGGGCTGTCTGCAGGGCTGTCATGCGGAAGAGGGAGCAGACAGGGGAGGTTCCCGGGGCTCTGAGCTGCCGGCTGGGAGCTTCCAGGAGGCAGCTCTGCTGAGGACCACCAGATGCAGGCGGAGCCTCGGTTTGTGTGTGGGAGTGGGCGCCATGACGTGCCTCATGTGCGTGTCTGTGTGTGCGTGTGCGTGTGTGCACGGGACCCTGACCTCTGCTTGTGACTCAGGGTGCTGGTGGATCAGCCTCTTCCGGGGTCCCGTTCTTTCCTGAGGTTCCCTGTCTGAAGGTCTGACCCTGTGTCCCCGGGATCCTGGGAGCCTGCGCCGCCGGGGCTGCTGGGCGCAGGGGCTGCGCGGAGCCTGGAGTCGGGTGGCGTTGACCAGCCCGGCCACTGCAGGAGGGCTGTGGCCTCACGCTGGAGGCAGGGCAGCCAGGGGCCCCCAGTGCTGTCACGTGCCAGCGTGGCTCGGTGTCAGAGCTGGGATTGGACACAGTGCCCGGGCCCTGGAGGGCCACGCCGTAGGTTCCAGGAGGAGCGCAGCCGGTGCTCCCATTCCCTGAGGCTCCGACGGCTGTGAGATGTTCTGATTGTGAGAGTCCCAGTCCTCGCGGTCCCCAGGGAGTCGCTGCTTGTTCTCCCAGCCGCGTGGGAGTTGACGAAGGGGTAACCAAGTTGCTGTGCGAAGCCCGGGGTCCAGGCACCTTCCCTGTCACTGGACGGTCCGTGTTAGGGCTTGGGAGTGGACCGACCTGAGCTGGGACTGCAACTCTTCCCTGTCCCAGCCGAGGGACCTGGGGCACTGCTGGCCTCCTGCGCTGGGAGGGAAGTGAGAACGAGGATGATGTGTGAGCCGTGGGGCTGTGGTGACACAGATCGCGCCCAGAAAGCCCTCTGGTGTTGCCCGATGGCGGTGCTGGTGGTGGTGATGATGGTGAGGATGGTGGTGATGGTGGTGGTGATCATGGTGGTGGTCATGATGGTGATAATGGTAATGGTGATGGTGGTGATGATAGTGATGACAGTAATTTGATGGTGGTGATGGTGATGGTGATGGTGGTGATGGTGATGGTAGTGGTAATGGTGATGGTGGTAGTGGTGATGCTGGTGATGGTGGTGGTGATAGTAATTTGGTGATGGTGATGGTAGTGGTGGTGGTGATGGTGATGGTGGAGATGGTGATGATGGTGGTGATGGTGATGGTGGTGGTGATGGTGGTAGTGATGATGGTGGTGATGGTAATGGTGATGGTGGTGATGATAGTGTTGATAGTAATTTGATGGTGGTGATGGTAGCGATGATGGTAGTGGTGATGGTGATGGTGGTAGTGGTGATGCTGGTGGTGATGCTGGTGATGGTGGTGGTGATGGTGGTGATAGTAATTTGGTGATGGTGATGGTGATGGTAATGGTGGTGGTGATGTGATGGTAGTGATGGTGACAGTAGGGATGGTGATGGTGGTGATGGTGATGATGATAGTGGTGGTGATGATGGTGGTAATGATGTTGGTGATGGTGGTGGTGATAGTGGTGATAGTAATTTGGTGGTAGTGATAGTGGTGTTGGTAGTGATGGTGATGGTGATGGTGGTGGTAGTGTGATGATGGCAATGATGATGGTGGTGGTGGTGGTGATAGCAGAGGGGCGACCTGGCCAGGAGTCCCTGGCCGTGGCATAGCTGGTCCCATGCACGCGGGGGCACCGGCCTTCATGGCCCAGCAGCGGCTTCCCACGCACTTGCATTACGTCGCATCTCCAGGGGCCTGCTGAAACTGAACTTTGCAGAGAGGGAAAGCGGGGCTCCGGGGGCCGGTGCAGTCAGCAAGGGGGCTGTGTGCATTCTAGACACAGCGGGCTCCGCCCCGTTCCTGCTCGTGGCGGCCAGTCCAGTTGCCACACCTCTGCCTGGTGTGGAGGGAGCACTAGGATTAGGTCCTAGGAGCACCTGCCAGAGGAGACTCGGCCCTGGAGGCTCTGAGTGCGAATCCCCTGATGCCGCCCCCCAAATCGAGGCCTCCCCTCTCTGAGTCTGCGTCTGCAGGGGGGGCCCAGGGGCACAGGCAGCTGAGGTCTAGCTGGGCCACAGACACAAGAAAGAAGGGATTCAGGGCTGGCCTCGGGGGCTTTGGCATGGGGAGTGAGTCAGAGGGAGGTGGCCTGGGCAACTGCTGGGCAGCAGGTCCGAGGGTGGAGGCCGGGTGGTGGAGCTGCTGGTGGTCTGGCTGGTGATAGTGTCCAGAGGCCTCTGGTCAGAGGCAGGGACACAGAGAATCTGTTTTGTTCCGGGGCGAGAGAGTGAGTCCTAGGTGGGCCGAGCTGGCGTGTGGTCCCCCAGGCCTGGGCAGCTCTGGGCACCTGTCGGCTGCAGGAGGACTCTGGGGCCAGCGCCAGGTTGACTCTGACCTCTGGTGTGTCCCCTTGTCCATTCTGCACAGCAGCCAGGCCAGGCCACCCCAGGGCTCCTGTCTCCTCCTGGTCCCCCCTTCTGTGTCCCTGCCCCTGCCGCGCCCCCTCCCCGCTCTAACCCCTCATTGGCCCCAGGGCTCCTGTTGCCCCCTCTCTGTGGCTCACGTGGGGCCTGTCACTCTCTGCAGTCCCTGGCTGCTTCACCTCCCAGCACTTTCTTATTCATTTAATCAACAAATATTTACTGAGCACTTAGTATGCTCCATGCACTGGGGATAGGGCAGTGAGTGAAACAAACCATAGTTCCTGTTCTCCTACAGTCCCCCCATCCCGGATTGAGGAGACAGACACCTGGCCATAGAGATAGAAATACATAAATTATGGGGTAGGTCTGATGGCGACGAGAGCGATGGAAAAGCGGAGAGGAGCTGACGGCTCGTTCTCCTGCGTAGCCCGGAGCCTGCTCCCTCCCTGCACATAGTCCAAGCTCACTGACCACATGGGCAGGGAGGGCCTAGGCGGCTGGAGGGGAGCGTGGGACAGCCTGCGGGGAGGTCCGGCTGCCCTCGGACCAAGGAGGTCCACTCCGGCCGGTGCAGCGAGTGGTGGGCCCTGAGGCCGCACAGCAGTGGGCAGACCCAGACCCCCCGTGGAGGGTGTCAGCAGCCCAGGGTGATGGACACGCAGTGGCCGGAGCTTATATAAGGCCGCGTGGCTGGGTTTCTGGAACCAAGAGCAAAACCTGGAGCTCAGGAGAACTCTGGCTCCCTGGCCGGCGGGCGGAGTGGCAGGAAGGACCAGGGAGCCACAGCAGTGGCCCAGAGCAGCAGCTCTGGGCGGCTCGGCTGGGTGGGCGTCAGGGCTGTGGGCCTCATCTCGCATTCCCACTGCCCAGCCTGGCACTGTTGGGCTCCAGGGCTCAGGGCACCCCAGAAGACACAGCTGCAGCGACTGGTAGCCTCCTGGGAGATGTGGGGCTTCTCCCTGCACCCTGCTATGAGCCGGCTTGGCAAGGCCACCACCAGTTGTCACCCAGTGGGTCTGGGGGCTAGGGCTGGGGCTCTGGCCTCTCAGCAGTGCCTGGTTCTGCCCCGGGCTCAGGGTGTGACCTTGTCAGGCCACTTCATTCTCTGGGCCTCCGTGTCTCCATCTGTACAATGGGCTTAACAGCCCTGCTGAGCCGAGCAGTCCTGGACGCGCCTCGAGTGGGAGTCAGGACCGCTGTGTGGCGCGTGGGTCCAGCAGAAAGTGAAAACGCGGGGCTCCCGGATGCAAAGCTAAGAATTTCAAGTCGGTGACAGCGCCGCCGGGGTGACACAGCCGGGAAGCTGGCCCTGACCGTAGTTCGGCTCTGCCACCTCTTGGCCGTGGGTCTGCCCTGTGCCGCCGCTGGGCCTCACTCTCACCTTCTCTGGGCTGTCAGCCCTGGCAGGCGGGGGGTGGGTGGGAGGTCCGTGCGTTGAGGGCTCAGGTGTGCCTTCCTTCGGGAAGCCTGTGGTGATTCCTTCCCGGCTCCAGGGGTCCCACGGTGTCTGATTCCTCAGCGCCCAGCCTTCCGGCTGTAGCATGCATTGTCCTGGCATTATCTGTCTTTGCAATAACCTTCCTCTCTTTGCTTGCAAGTTTTCCTTGCTTTTGATGATGCAATAAATACACAACTCCAGTCTTGTTGGGAAAATAAAAAGGCCGGTCCCAGGGTTGTCCCAAGAAGGGGTTCCTCCCCCCACTCCTCGTTAGCAGAAACCGAGGTCGACCAGATCCACGACCACTGGTTTGGGAGCAGATTCCCCCCGGGGTGTGGCTGGGCCCCCAGCTCCTCCCTGCTGGCTGATCCTGCAGCCTGGGCCCGCCCCCACCACGCACCCCCTGTCTGTCTCCCCAGGGCTCCCTGCTCAGCGCTGACATGGCTGAGAGCGCCTTGCCGCCCTCGTCTGCCGCAGCCCCGGCCGCTGAGCCGGAAGTCACGGAGCAGCCGGGGCCCCGCAGCCCCCCTCCGTCCCCTCCAGGCTTGGAGGAGCCCCTGGATGGAGCCGATCCTGACGTCCCACACCCAGACCTGGCTCCTGTGGCCTTCTTCTGCCTGCGCCAGACCACCAGCCCCCGGAACTGGTGCATCAAGATGGTCTGCAACCCATATCCTTTGCAGGGCCGGCCTTGGCCGGGGGCTGTCTGTGCACGCCGGGGGACCCGAGGCCTGGGTGAGGCTGCTGGGGCCTGGTGGTGGTGAGCGAGCTCGAGGCGCGGAGGTCCGACCATGGAGGACCTGACGCCCACTGATGCGAAGGTTCTGGAAGTTGCTGATGGCTGCGGGGCCGGGCCGGTGGCTGGCAGGCTCGGAGCCCTTGGGTGTGAGCCCAGGTCTGCTGTGGGGCTGGGGGCACAGATAAATCAGAGCCTGAGCCATCCGACGGCGGCGACCACAAGGGTGACGGGAGCAGGGAGGAGGGAGTGAGGGCTGAGCTGTTGCGCCTCCTCACGCCTTCCTGCCTCCCGGGCTCCTGTCCCCGCCCCTCCCGCTCCGTCTGTCCGTGTTGTTCCAGGGCCACGGACTCCTGAGCCTCGCCCGGAACAGAGGTTGCTCTCTGGTGCTTCTGGGAGCCGGGGCGTGCAAGGCGGAAGGGGCTGCGTGTGGCGAGGCCCCGGTGCTGCCTCATCCCCCGTGGGGAGCGGGGGGCGAGTGAGGGTCACCTGAGACGTCCACGCCCACCCATTCCCGAGGGTGGGGCCCCGTGACGTGGCCCCCTCCTAGAGGCCCCCCTCCGAGTGTCCAGCTCACGAACTCGGCCACCCACTCGGCCCTAGCCAGCCCCCTGATGGTTTCTCACCGGCCTGGAGGTCAGAGCCAAGTGCTGACCCAGCCCCGGGCCCACTTCCCACCGCTGTGCTCTTCCAGGCCGTGGTGCCCCCTGCCCAGGGAAGCCTTCTGTGACTCCCCCTCAGGCTCTCTGTTTTCTGGCATGTCTGGTTGTGAATTTATTTATTTATTATATATTTGAAAGGCAGAGTGACGACAGGGTGGCGAGAGAGAGAGAGAGAGAGAGAGAGATCTTCCATCCACGCGTTTACTCCCCAGGTGCCTGCAATGGCCAAGGCTGGGCCAGGCTGAAGCTGGGAGCCGGGGACTCCATCTGGGTCTCCCAGTGGGTGGCAGGAACTTAATTACTTGGGCCCTCATCGGCTGCTTCCCAGGCGCAGTGGCAAGGAGCTGGGCTGGAAGCAGAGCAGCCAGGACTCGAATCTGCACCGGTGCTGGGTGCGGGCGTCACAGGTGGCTGTGCCACAGCGCCACCCGGTGGCTGTGGAATTCCTTCCCCTGATGCTTGCTTCCGGGGCGCTGCCAGGTGACCAGGGCAGGGACCGAGCCTCTCCTGTGCACCGCAGGACCCCAGCCCCGGCTCAGCGGCTGGCGCGTGCTGGGGGCTCCCTGCAGGGTGGTGGGTAGGGGCGTCTGGCTGAGCCCTCACTCAGGAATGGTGGAGAGGGGAGAGGGAGGGGAGGCGGGAGGGCATTGCAGGCTTGGGCAAGAGGGCACTAGAGGCAGGTGGTGCCATGTGGCGGGCAGGCCTGGCCCGCTGTGTGAGGAGCCGGGCTGTCTCCAGGGCAGTGGGGAGCCGCCTGTGGCTTGGACCGTGGAACGGAGCCCGGCCCGAGTGCTGGGGCTTGAGGCTTCCCAGGGCAGGTGGGGGCGGTGGTGAGTCAGCCGCCCGGGATGCCCGGGACGCTGGCGGGGGAGTAGCAGTGCCCGAGCCCTGGCGGTGCTGAGCCCTGGATCTCCGACTCTTGGAAGCCAGGGGGTGCCCCTGGGAGTGGGCGGCGTGCACGGCCGGGTGTCCCTCGGCCGCCCTGTCTGTGAGACGGTTTGGCGGTCTCAGGCGTGGCCAGGGGGTCCTCGTTAGTGGCTGAGTCTCCCCAGCACTCACTCTGGCGCTTGCCCTTGGGATGCAGAGTTGGTGTGGCCTGGGGAGCCCTCCCGGGGGGGCAGTTTTAGGACAGAGTGCTGGGGAGACCCCCAGGGCCAGGAGGGTGGCCAGGCTGCAGAAGGGCCAGGAGACAACAGAACAGAGACAGATCGTGGGGCAGGTCCGGCTCTGCAGCTTGGTGCTGTGTGGCCTTCAGGGAGTCACTTGGCCTCTCTGAGCTGGGTCAGGATGGGGGGTGGTGTTCTGGGCTGGAGGCAGGGGCAGGGCTCAGGCAGAGCTGGCCCGGGGGTGACAGAGAGCCCCGTGGATGAGTTGGTGTTGGTCCTGTCTGCTGTGTGTGGCTTTGGAAGAGGGAGTGGATGGGACGCTGGGCACGGCCAGCCGCACTCGCCGGGGAGGGAGGTCCCCACTGTGGCACAGCAGGCACCCTCAGGCCTGGCTACCACGTCAGCCCCGGGGGCCCCCCTGGTGTGTCACCTTTCTGAGCTGCTGGGCAGTCCCAGGTCACTCGCCTCCACCCTCAGGGCATGTGAGTCGCCCGCCTGGCGCCTGGCGTTGGGGCTGGCCCGGGGAGGGGTCTCTCCACACCAGGAGCTGCTGCGGGACGGGGGCTCCCACAGAGCCCCGTGGCCCGAGGCTGCCGAGGCGGGGCTGGGGGGGGGTTCAGGTCTCGCTGGGATCCCTGGGATTCAGAAGCGGCAGGGGCTGGACACTCAGGCTGCACACTCAGGGTCTGGGTCCCAGGTCCCAGGTCCCAGGTTCAAGGTTGAGATGCGAGCCGCAGCAAGACTGCAGCATTCTGCCTTGCAGGGAGCCAGCGAGCCTGAGGTCGGGCGGCGGAGCCGGGCTGCAGGGCTGAGGCGCGCGGCTGAGCTGGGGCGGGCGGGGAGGCCCGGGAGCTCAGGAGACCTTGGCGGTCACGGGTGTGGGGGAGTCAGGCTGGCTTTTGGGTTTGGAGACGGGGTGTGGCGGTGCGTCTCAGGGGGTGGGATTGGCCCTGGGGGTGCGGTGGGGTTCAGGCTGTAGGATAGCCGTGTCCTTGGCCGCTGGGAGGGAAGTATTAGTGGTATTAGCCCCTCCATCACCGCGACCCTCTCTGCGTGTGCAAACTGGGCAGAGGGCTGTCCCATGGAGACGGGAGTGGGGCCCCTGTGGATGTCAGGGTTGGCTGAGTGGGAGCAGCCAGGCCGTGGGGGGAGTCCAGCTCTGTCAGCTTCCCTCCCTGTACCCCCCGCCCCCCGCCCAGCGCATCCCCGGTGCCGAGGGGCCCTGGCTCGGAGCCAGCCGCTTTTTGGAGCTTGGTGCTCCCTGACTCAGCTCCTCACCGGGCCCTGAGTCACGTCTGACTCACTGGAGAGCCGGCAGGCTGCCGCGACCCTCGCTGGGTGTCGGGCCTGCTCCTGCCCGGCCTGGGCCTCAGGCCTGTTTGACATGCCGGGGCAGGGGTCGGGGGAGATGGCGTGTTTGACTCATGGCGGGGCGGGGACCTGAGTCAGACCCGGGGGCTGGTTCTGCCCCCTGCTGGCTTGCTGTGTGACCACGGGCTACTTCCTTAACCTCCCTGAGCCTCACCTGTCCAGCAGGGGTGGCACTGGCCTTCCACGGCTACACAGCACGGGAGGCGAAGGGGCGGTGGAGCTTTGTAGACCGGCAGATCGGCCACACTTGCAGTTATCACCACGCCTGTCCTAGAGGTGACCAGGGCCAGGAGGTACAGCTGAGTAAACACGGCTGGCGGTAGATTCGATAGGCCTTGGGGACAGGTCCCTGGATAGAACGTATCACCTTCGGAGCACATTGTCTCCAGGGAAAATCAGATTCAGTCTCTGTTCCTTAGGTGAATCCGTGTGGGCTTTTTTTTTTTTTTTTTTTTTTTTTTTTTTTTTTTGACAGGCAGAGTGGACAGTGAGAGAGAGAGACAGAGAGAAAGGTCTTCCTTTGCCGTTGGTTCACCCTCCAATGGCCGCCGCAGTCGGCGCGCTGCGGCCGGCGCACCGCGCTGATCCGATGGCAGGAGCCAGGAGCCAGGTGCTTTTCCTGGTCTCCCATGGGGTGCAGGGCCCAAGCACCTGGGCCATCCTCCACTGCACTCCCTGGCCACAGCAGAGGGCTGGCCTGGAAGAGGGGCAACCGGGACAGAATCCGGCGCCCCGACCGGGACTAGAACCCGGTGTGCCGGCGCCGCTAGGCGGAGGATTAGCCTAGTGAGCCGCGGCGCCGGCCCGTGTGGGTTTTGTCACTGGTGTCCCTGCCCTGGTCACTGCAGACATTGCTAATCAATCATGGCAGCCTCCAGCAGGGTGGCCCTGGCAGCCATGACTAATCCATCAGAAGCCTATTTTCCACCCTAGATGAGACTTCCAGAGCTTTTCCTGAGCCTCAGTCTTCTCATCTCTACAATGGGGAGATTAAAGAGATGACTCCTGCAAGGCATCCCGCAGTGCGTCCCCCCCCAGAGGAGGCAGGGACGATCGGGGAGCCGCATTTGCTGTTCCCAGTGCTTTGCCGTGTGATGGCCGTTAACCCTCATAACCACCCAGGGAGGGGGGACGCCCTCATAGATCCATTTCACAGATGAGGAAAGTGAGGCACACAGAGGCTGAGTAGCTTTTATCCAGGGTCGCACAGCCAGGATGTGGCAGAGCTGGGATGAACACCCTGATTTCTCTGAGCCCCCAGGCCTGGCTTTTGTCCAGGCATGGCTGCCACCCAGAACAGAGGGCTTGCTTTGCTGCGGCCAGCAGCCGGGCAGGAGTCCCCGGTCCCCAGCTCTGCGGCAGCCTCTCTGTGGCCTGCCTGGGGCCGTCCCCAGAGGCGGCTGCAGCCCCTCCCCTCCCCAGACTGCTCCGGGCGGAGCCAGGCTCCTGCGGCAGTGGGAGGCAGCCATGCGTGTGGGGCAGCCAGTGGGCTGTGAAGGCCTCCTGGCTGCTCCAGGGAGGCCGGGGTGCCTGCGCCAGCCTGGCCGGGAGGCGGGAGCCACAGCCGCCGAGCGACCTTGGACAAGTCCGCCCCCACTTGTGCCCTCGGTCTCCCTGTCTGTAGGATGGGGAGAGCCGGCAGCGAGGGCTGGAAAGGGCTTCCTGGGCCCCCGTCCCCGCCAGCCCCCTGGGGGCTGTGCTCTGTGCCCCTGGGTCTCACCTGTGCTCCCTGGCTGGGCTCCGGCATGCGTCTGCCGGGGCTGGGGCCGGCAGGTGTTCCGGCATCCACGTGGCC